TACCCCCTAACTAGGTTGATTCCGTTTGGTACAAAGTAAAATGACGAAGTTTTGTCTTCTCTCTTCAAGCGTTGCGTGGCGCATTGTTCCACCTATTCCCCAGATCTTCTGCGTTGCCCCTCAGTCTGGGGTTGGGCTTTAGCGTATCACCTAAACTGAGTGCAAGGGGTGACGAACTTTGGGGCCATGATCGTCAGCGATACTCGTCGGCGAGATTCAATGGCGGCGATTGCTCAAGCGCTGAGCTGGCGCGGTGATGGTGGCTACCGCGACGGCCCTCGCAGCGTTCAGATCCGTTAATGACTCTCGGGCTTCGGTGGCGGTCCGGATCCCTGTTCACTCCACGTACCGCTGCACGCCAGCGAGCTACCCGGGCGCCAGAGGGGGGGGGGGGGGGGGGGCGCACCTCTCGGCCTGTCGGTGACACGCAGGGCCTTTTCGTGTTGCGCAGCCTCATCGTGGAGCCGCTTACCGCCGACCGTCGCCATTTCCCGTACCCGCGAGGAGGTTCGCACCCACCCGGCGACGTGTTTGCCGCAGTATGACATGCTCCGAAGACAAATAATTATGCTTCTGACGAAGTGCGTGGGAGGCGGAATGGTTGATCCATGTACGGATGTGGTCGTCATTTTTTAATTTGCACTTAAACCACTATCGAGCTTGTACCGAACCATCCAATACGCCAGTTGTTGGAACGACTCGTCAATAAAGTGAAATCGATCGTTGTGACTCACGAATTGATCTCACGTAACTCACGGGTTGATCTGATGTAACTCCGGATTATCTGGTGAAACTCGCGAATTGACCTGCTGTAACTTACGAATTGACCTGATGTAACTCACGGATGGTCTGATGAAACTCGCGGATTAACCTGCTGTAACTTACAGATTGTCCTGCTGTAGCTCACGGATTGATCTGATGACCTGGTGTAACTCACGGATCGATCTGATGTAACAAGGATTGGCCTGATGTACCTCACGGATGATCTGATGTAACTCACGGATCGATCTGATGTGACTCACGGATGATCTGATGTGACTCACGGATTGATCTGATGCGACTCACAGATTGATGCAACGCACACATAATCCTCACTCTCTCTCACACTCTCCTTCTTTCTCACCTGTATCAGATTCAAATGCATACTTGCTACTTGTATCTAACGAAACGTGTTCTCAAAATACGAAAATGAAAGCTGAAGATGCCTTTCACGTACTGGTACTATCCCGCGCGACCCGCAGCCAAGTGGGACAGCCAAGCAGCCAGACTGACCGGCTATTCCAGACCTTTTCAAGGTTAACAGGAACGTGCCAACTGGTGAAGCGAAATGAGGCGCGCACAATACAAGCGCGAAAATGTCTCAGAAAAGGATGGGTTTATGACTTGGCGGCTTGAGATGATTTCGGCAACGATTGGACTTAGGGACTGCGAACTAAATGACTTGAATGACTGAACAAAAAATGGGCATCGATAACGGCATACTCCGGCAGAAGATATGATGAAATATACCTGACGGCCATATTTACGCCACATGCCAATCGGCTCAGTTTGACAAAGCAAAAAGCAAAATAACTAAATTCCGTCCAAATATTGACGCAAGTCAACTGCAAGCCGCCCATGAACTCCCCACGACACACGAAAACATACATTTGACACAAGCTAAAATGTGGGTTAATGTTCTTCTCATACCGCCAGGATTGCACACCTTCCTTCCTTACCTCCCTTGTGGCTGGCAACACCCTAGCTTGCATGGCAGAAGCATGTATGATAAAACATTATCTAAGGTGGCAGGCGTGCTACCGGCTTGCGCATATCACCGCCATACTAATGCATCCGTCTCACTCACTTCCAAGTGCAACGGATGCGCGTGCACTGAAATGCTCTGCTTCCACAAATGTAAGCATAGATTGGTTGGCGCAACAGTTTCAACACCAGTCATATGGCCGCCACACAGTGGGAGACGTGTAACCCCCTTTCGTTGCCCAACGCGACACACGCACATCTCTAGACCCGAAACTTTCAACACTACCGCCAAAACTCGGACACCACCTGGCCTACCTGCGCCCGCCCCTGGCCTGGGAGTGCTACCTGGATTACGACAGCGTTCCACACGTTGATTCTGGGAAACGATAGTCCATGGCGGAACCGAACTTGGAACATCGAAGAAATTATGGCGACCGGATACAGAAACCACGCTGAAGGAGGGAGCCGATGACACTGCGCCTTCCCACTTTGTCTCACACTCTACCTTCCCACATTCAGGCTGAGGCAAGACCGCCGAGGGTAATCCCTTCCCATCCGGCCCAAACTGAGGGCCCCAAGCCATCATGGAAGCCCAAGCCATCCATCGTTAACACTTTCATTAAAAATGAAACCATTGTAAGCACCGCGCAAGGTAACGGAAACCTGCTGAAGAAAATCACGGAGCGTTGTGATTGGTAGGTGCCCTGAGGTGGGAGCGTCACGACTGCGCTTAAGGGGGAGGACGAGCCTATTGCCCCCCTTCCCTCGCGCCCGGCGTTGCTCCCCCTCACGCCAATACTCATCATGCTGTGAAAGTGGACCTACTTCCCTTCCGAGTTACAGGCCTCAGCCACCTGCCCTTGTAATTGCCCCCCCCCCCCCCCCTCCCCTCCCTTTCCCCAGCAGTGTTGTGCTCCTGGCGTCGAATCCTGGCGCCACCCATGCCCAGAACTGAATCAGCCGTTTCATAATTCGTCGCGACAATCTGGAAAAGTGCTAAAAAGGATGGTACTTTGCCTCCTGGCGCCAATGAATTATTTGGCATGCACTGTAGACATGGTAACTTTATTAAAATTATAATTGTCCTCTCGTGAATGAGGCGTACCGCAGGTTCGTATTTGTAACATACAAATTGATATTAAATGTCCCCAGGTATTTTCTCTGCAAAGTGAAGGATAGAGCAATGAATCCAAAGAACATTTGACTACTTGCTACTACAGACCAAGCAATAAGTCAGCAAACATACTGCCACACATTAAACTTGCTTATACTGAGCCCAAAAGTAATATGACGAAGTGATTGTCAAGTTTATTTCCCATGAAAAATCGTTTGCCTGTGGAGAATTGTGACAGCCCACTCTTCAGTCTGGTTCGTTACTCTTTCCCCTACGAAACTTTAAGACAACCTCCAAGAGGTGTCTTGAGTCCAATTTCAAGTCCATACCTTAGTCCTGAGCTTAACAAACCAAGATTATTGCACTTATGACCTTAAAGTTTGACCTGCAGCAGAGCTGTCCCAAAGAATCATCGCTGTGTGTGATAATCCTGAGGAACAAATAATCTAATGGTGTGCCTGCATGCCCAATGCAGATTGATGGTATGGCACAAGAACAAAGCTGGTAAAGACAGAAATTTTGCTGTGCTGAAGTATACAAATAAATTGATGAGTACTCTGCAACTTTATGGCAGAAACAGATGGTATAATGTCTTCTGCATCATGACTTTGTGGCATACAAGCATGACACAGCCACATAAGGGACTGTGCTATATGCTGTTGCAATTGAAAATATAATTCCTTGTGCAATGAATATAACTGATGTCTATCTGGTCCAAATCTGAGATTGATCAGCCTTCACAAGAAAAGCCACTTCTTCTGCTGAAATGCATAAAATACAACCATCAAATAAATGGAGCATGGTAATGCAGAAAATTATGAAGACTGTATACTTTATGACCTAAACAAGGTCAAGTAGCTTGACCTTACTTGCTGATGGGAAAGTAGAGGTAAATTACATGATGCTGCAAGAGCATACTAGCAGCATTCTGTAATGAATAAAAGCCTGTACTCATTTAGCACAGAGCTGATGCTGAAACACCAGCCAAGGCCCATCCCATGCACTACAATATGTTAACAAAATGGCTAATTTCTCAAATGGGTCCATCTTAAAATGTAGTGAATCATACATCTTCAGTGAGCTATGGAACCAGCTAATCCAAAGCACTAAAAATAAGGGTGGAACACATGCTCTGACCACTGAAAAATGCACCTCAGACTGGCCTAAGCCAATGAGCAGGACCATGGGACGGAAATGCTCTGAGAGAGCAAGAGTGCGGAATACTCCACCAGGACAAGTGTAAAAACAAAATAACAGCATCACCACAGGAAAAGTCACAACCATTTTCCTATACCACCAACCCATTGCCTGAAAATGTGCACCAGTGCATGCACAAAGGTCAGACCTTAAAAAATTGAGCTCCTTGCCAATGATTACAGTTTATTGCTATGTTTAAGCAAAATTTACACATTTAACTGCATGAGGGAGATAACAAAATCCCAAAACAACATGCATATGACCCTGAAATCATTACAACCCAGTTGTTAGTTACAATCATATGACTTAGCCTTACCTCCATTGGCATCTAAAGTTTCAGAGTATGCTGGATGACCACAATCAGCTGAAGCAGGATTCAGCAGAGCTTGTTCTTGTAAAATACACGTTTACAAAATGTTTCTCAATAACATTCGCACACCCCCTGTGCCCTAACTGAAGTACCGGATATCAGGGTCTTGCAGATAGCCACCAACCAGAGTTCCAATATGGCGACGACCTTTCCACCGTGAAAGTCTTCTGTTTCTCTTCCTACGATCGCACCAAACCTTACACAATAAAATCCAGCGAAACAACCTACAATTGTCACCACACACCACGCGGCCCACAGGCCTTCACCACGCAAATTGTCTACAACTATGCGTGCGGCAAACACACCACGTCAAGTCACCGGCCGCCATTTTCCCTCGCCAACAGCCCTGGCCCAGAATGCTTTGCGAGGTATGACGTCACCTCCGCCCAACGTTCGGGTTCCCCAGTTCAGCTGGCACCAAGAGACGCACAAGGACTGGAGGCATGTGGCATATGTACCGAAGTGTGTGTTGGTCACCAGCCATCGTTCCAAACACCAGTCTGCATTCAAACTTCCCTAAAAAAAAATAACGTGATTAATTTTACAATGTATTCACAATGAAAACACTTCATACACCTTACTTTCTCTTGCTTCATCACTGAAGGGGGTCACCCAACGCACCTAACCTTTCACAATCGTCTTGCCTTGCGGGGTCTGTAGCAGTTCCACGTCACCGGGGTCGCGTCTGTGAGAGACACGATGTTCAAACCACCCAACTGCAAGCCTTTCACCGAGCTCTGCAATGAAACAAACATGGTCATAATACATGCATGGGCAGTAGGAAGCACACAAAAAAACATACATTACAGGCTATGAGCCTGAAAAAATACGGCAAGGATCATCTCCGAACTCCGCCCCGATTTTGCTAATACAAGCACGGATTTCACTCAGGAACAGGCGTGTTTTGTATCATCACCAAAACTAGGCACTGTTAGTATAAGGCATCTCAGTCTCCCCAGGTCGCCAGCAGTCATCACGGGTGGCGCCACCAGCGACCAGTGGCAAGGGAAGGCGATTTCTGTGCACACAAACCCAATGGCGCGATGTGAAGATCACAGGCCCGCGCCTCCCCAGTCTTTCCCTGGTGCAGGCCCGCAAACAACACAATGTTTTAGAAGACGTACTCGAAGTTCAAATAGCTATGAAAGCCTTGAAGGCCGCACTTGAAACTGATGACACAGAGGGAACTAGAAACGAAAACTTCTGCTTTGAAATTCACTTTACGCCCCCATATTCACGGCAGGACTGGAATGCTGGACCAGTCATTTGGCAGGCAAGATCTGCGTACATGATGACCAGGGGTGCCGAAAATGAAGGTCAAGGACCACAGCCCCTGGAGTCTGACCTGGCCGCCTGGCGGCCGTGCCGGTCCGCTGCATAAGTGGTTGGCAGCCAAAGCCGTCGGTTTGCCTCCCACATCCTCCCAACCAACATTCGTGCTCGGTTTGAACCCGTCGCCGCCCCCCCCCCCCCCCTGAACAATAATTTGGATTTCAACGGTGGTTGACTACACGCCCTCGGAGGAGACGCGTCAACTAGTGTGAAAAGTTGTAACGCATGTGGCCATATGATCAGCAGACGTCAACACGGAAAAGCTTAATACAATCGCTGACGTAGACACATGACGATTCTGCATACCCTACGTCGAAAAATTGTCATTCGCCTTGCAGGGATGGCAGCAGGGTCGGCGAAGTGAAGTAAAATTTGGTTCCTCGGGTAAAATTGATATCTCACATTATGTGGTATGGTTATGGGCGGAATTTTTGCCCGAAGACAATTTTGCAGATGTCTGCAACCGTAAACATCTGCCTTCAATATCCGTCCTTAGGTGGAAATTTTGCCCCGAGACAATTTTGCGGATGTCTTCTAGGAGGCGTGCGCGCACCTATTAGCCATTGGAGGCCAGCCCGTGCTTTCTCCTTACCAAATTTATGGAGTGCGTTTACGTCATTCATGTCAGGGGTTAAAAGTTTCTCGCACGCAAATAAAAAAGAAACATAAGGAGCACACGCAGGATCCGGAGCGCAAGAACTTGCGCGCTTCTATAGCGCGCTAGGCTCGATTTTCAGTGGACATTTTTGGGTTGTGTACCCCCCCCCCCCCCTCCCTCTCCCCCTCGTTCGCCGATGGCACATCCTGCGTGTACATCCGTCCCCACCTGGCATCGACAGATACAGGTCGACACCAGGCTGGAAAATAGAAGGATGGTTGACGGCACAACTAGTAATTTGTAAAACAAGATCTTGTTTATTGCGGTTTTCGGGCGCGCCGACTGCAGTGGTCATTTGGCGCCTAAATAAAACAAGATCACGAACTTGCCATGTGATCTTTTTACGTGAATTTGACCCAAAAACGAGCGTTCCTCTATTTCGGGGCCTGCTTTTCAAAAAAGAACCACAAGTAGCACCTCGATGGTTATGCTTTACCCTCTGTTGACAAAAAGTCACCGCTAGCAGATGAAGCGTGCCACAAAATGTTTCGAGGTAGGCCAAGCGGAAAACGGAGTTGGGGAAGGTGGAACCGGAACAGCGAACGTGGTTGCCCCACGTGGAGGCTCCCCAAACGCGTGGTCCCATTTCTAATCCAGAAGATCGCCCGGCGGGTTTCTCCGAGAGAGACCACCGACTCCCAAGGGAGCCCTCCCAGTGAAGAGCTAACTACGGGTCCCCTCTCAAGTGAAGGCAACATCGATTCCCAAGATAGCCAGCCGAGTAAAGAGTTGAAATCGTGACAAATCTGCCAAGACGGGAATTACGGGCAAATTACGGGTATTACGAGTAATGGGTAATGGGTATGGGCAATCGGGTAAAACATTCGTGATATCTCGGGTGATATATTTTTCCAAACTAAAACATATTACTGCTTAGGTTTATTCTAGTCATAAGACGCATTCACTGCATTTCTGCAACTATCAACAGAAACTGGTAAGTTTGGGTGTAAACACTCTCTAAACTCCCCCATAATTTCTAACTAAAATGCTCGACAAACTGAAAACGGATGGGTGGCGGATGACTACCACTGAATAGGAATGGGCAGAGGGTGGATGTGGACGAATCACCATGAGTAGCAGATGAAATGGGTACAGGAAATGTACCCGTGAAGGCCTCTACATGGAACCCTTTTTCGTGCCGAAATCTGCAACAATCACATTGGAAAAGCGATATAGTCAGCACCCCCAGTTTGTTACCACTTTCAAACCTTGTATGAAGAACCCAAGTCGGGTTTTGATAAAGTACCAAGCTATTGTTTTGAAGAAGGGTACTTGTGTGTGTCCTTTCCACCTTGAAATGCTTCCAAACTTCCCAGACAATCAGGCGATAATGCAGTTGTAACAAGTTGAATCTTAAGTGGCAGAAGTACAATGTTTCACGCTTTGCGCGCGCGTTAAGCCCACGATCCGCTTTTTTTTAAACCCGAAGCTCCGTAAAAACTCTCCATGGCACTTTTTCAGGCCACTTTTGCACGTCTCCTTCTTTAGCTTTTCGACAGTTTTGGGTAAGGGCGCTCGACAATAGGAATCAAGATGGGTTGAATAAACACGTGGATACCCATATATGGTGGGCAACGGTTTGGGTGTGCAAAAATTTGTTGGAGAAATTATCAACATGGGCCAGAGAGCGGGGTAAGACGTACGAAATGTTACACAAGACACCTCAAGTTACTGCTACCACGAACGCACTGCTTGCGGTCCATTTCGTCATGATTACCTCCATACTTTTGCCATCACTATTGCAAGGCAGCAAGTTTGGGTGCGAGCTATAGAAAAACCCTCATTTCATCTAAAGATTTGGTCCAATACAGTGTGGGTTGGTGAATTTTGGGTGCTGGTTTGAGCAAGACGTTACGAAATGTTGGTACATTATCAAAGAAAGCCACTTCAGTGTTACTACTCGCGACTCGTCCCGACATCATTAACTCCAATGGCATTACTTTTGCAATTAACGACGCAAAATAGCAAGTTTGGGGGGATGTTGGTAACGTGGTAAACGCGTCTGCGTTAACCACTACGCGTCTGCGAAACCAGAGGTACTGGGTTCGATTCCCCGCGGTGCCCGCCCTTCCTGCCGAGATGACAGGCAGGCGACGCCACTAAGCTTCAGCAGCTGAGTGCGTCGTAAGGCCTCAATGACAGACAGACAGAGCGAGTTTGGCTACAAACGTACCTCAAACTTCCAGCACTTTCCATTGAATGCCTGAAAAATGTAAACTATGGGCTACGGGTGGAGATAACGGGTCAGGGCCGTATATGGGTACAGCCCCATGGATGGGGAGCGAGTGGATTGGGTTGAGGAATTAACATGCGACGGTCTCTGGTGACTTCCCCTTTCTAAACTTTTCCCGGGACTGTGAACACTTATCCAACACATTTTGTAGTACCAAACATAACTTTAGTTTTTGCAGCCTTACAATTTCAGCGTACGTGCCAAACAATGCACTCCCCATACGCGCATCAGAAAAGAGCTTCACTTAGCCTGGTTAAGCATATAACGCAATTTTTGTCTCGTCACGTCATGACACGAAAAAGTTTGGAGCTACACAGTTCGAACCTACAAAAGATTCCAAAGATAACTTTACAACAGGCACACCGTCCAGTGCGTGACAGGACGCAAGGCTGCGAAGCCGACAGAACCCCGTCGCAAGGAATGCTCACCAACCGCGAGCCTATGAGTGAAGGGGCTAGACGTAAACCTTCGTCCCGTGCCCTGCAGAACGGTGACCTACCGTGACCTTGCAAAAAGGTAGCCGTTCCTAGGCAAGGGCACCGGCTGCCGCCCAGCCGTCAACGGGGCAGTGATAGGAAGCCTCAGTGTCTGCATAATCGCTGCTCATCTACATATGCGAGAGAGCACTATTTCGGAATAGATGTAAGATTTGATATTTTTGCCGGCCTAAGTCAACTAGCCAGGCGATATGTATCAAAAGTAGCACGAAAAGAAAGCTCAACAGCTTATCTTCATGATGGTGGCACTTACATAACCCTAAGGCAAGTGCTCACGTTTTTCAGAGGGTAACTGGTCATATTTAAGCAACATTTCTTGAAAAACTGCAAATTTTGGATCCCGTGCGCGACCCCTTTAACTTCTTTTGCTGATTTTTGGTATCAAGGATTCGATACTTTTTTGTAATATCCACATTTCAGTCGCTTCACTGGCACACATCGTGGTAGTCTGGCCCGGCTACGAAACTGCTGATACATGAAAGGGGCCTCCTATTTCGGAAAAGGGGTCTCATGGCTTATAGAACTGCCTGTAAACCTAAAACAGGGTATCGTGTTCATAACGGGCCTCGTATTCATAACGGGCCTCCGTATTCATAATACGCATATTCATAGCGGGCCTCCTATTCATTACGGGCCCTATATTCATTACGGGCCTTGCATTCATTACGGGCCTCCTATTCATTACGTGTCTCCTATTCATCACGGGCTTCCTTTTCACCCCGGGCCTCCTATTCACCACGGGCCTCCTAGTTCGTAACAGGAACATGCTAGCTCAAAACGAGGGCCTTGCGATTCGCAGCAGGGGCATCCTATTCCAAAACGGGGCTTTGTAGTTTAAAATGGGGCATCCTAAATCATAACGAGAGGCCTCCAATTTCATAAATGGGGCCTCCTACGGGGACCTCTTAGCTCAAAAACAGGAGCCTTCTAGATCATGAGAGGTCCCCTAGTTCATAACGGGGCGCAATAGTTCACGAACAGGTCTGCTGGCTCTGTAAGGGGCCTACTAGTCCATGACAGGGCCTATCACGTGACAACGGGCCTTCTTGTTATTGGCGGAATATTTAGTTTCACTACGGGGCCCCATTCCGTAACGGGGCCCTGTTGCATAACGGATGTCCTTTGGCATAACAGATGCTCTGTTGCACAACGGATGCCCTATTACATGACGGAGGCCCCAGTACATAACGGGGGCCCATTTCATAACGGGGCCCAAGTGCATGACGGAGGTTCTATGGCCTAACGATGCCCAACGGCACTACGGTGGATCTATGGTATAGCGAGGGCCCTATGGAATAACGAGGGCCCTATGGAATAAAGGGGGCCTATGGAATAACGAGGTCCCATGAAGTAACGGGGCCCTTTGGAATAACGAGAACCTATGACAAAACGGGGGCCCTATGGCATAACGGGGGCCTACGGCATGACGGGCCTATGGCATAACGGGGCTTATGGCATAACGGGGGCCCTATGGCATAACGGGGGCCTATGACCCAACGGGGGCCTTATGACATAACGGGGGTCCTATGGCATAACGGGGGTCCTATGGCATAACGGGGGCCTATGACATAACGGGGGCCCTATGGCATGACGGGGCCCAATGGAATAAAGGGACCCCTATGGAATAATGGGGGGGGCCATGGAACAACGGGGGCCCTATGATATAACGGGGGCCTAAGGCACCAGAGGCCCTACGGCATAACGGGGGCATTATGGCATAGCCGGGGCCCTGTAGCATAACCGGGGACATATACCATGACAGGGGTCCTAAGGCATAACAGGTGCCCTGACATCACGGCGGCTCTATGCCATAACGGGTGCCTGTTGCATGAGGACCCTGTTGCATAATGGGGACACTATTGCATGATGGGCTCTATTGCATAATGGGGTCCCATTCCTTAATGGAGGCCCTGTTGCATAAAGGGGGCCTATCGCATAGAGGAGCATTTTGCATAACGGGGGCCCTGTCGCATAACGCGGGCCTTACTTTATGGCTATGTTTACTGCGTAGCGAGGCTTACGGCATAACGGGACCCTTATGCATAACAAGACCCAATTGGATAATGGTGCATATTGCATCACGAGCCTGTTGCACCACGGGCCTACCGCAGAACGCAGTCCTGCATAACGGGGTCCTTTTCCATAGTGGGGCCTTTTGGTATGATCGCGTCCTACTGCACAACCGGGCCCAAAGGCATGACAGGGGACCCTACTGCATAACAGGGTCCTTTTCCATAATGGGGCCTTATGGTATAACCGCATCCTACTACACAACCGGGCCCAAAGGCATGACAGCGGACCCTACTGCATAATGGCGTCCTATCACTTAACGGGGCCACATTGCATAACGGGAGTCCTACTGCTTCCCCGGGGCCTCCCGACTTAAAACATGGGCCCCTCATTCATTACTGGGACCTCCTTGTTCATATTGATGGTCTCCAGGGTCAGCAAGCAGCCTTTTAACAGAGGTACCCTGATCTAGAGCATGTGTGGCCTCGTGATCCAGAAAAGGGAAACGTCATGCCAAAATCTTGATCCCAACGAAGTAACCTCAAGTACCGTCATGAAGGCCACCTTGATCTGAATTTAGGTTACCTAGATGAGCTAGCATTTGTTCGGGCAAAAGGGGGGCCTTCCTAACTTTTGAGGGGACAAGAACCATATACATGGCCCCCTGCCGCCAGCAGAAGAGCCCTCTGCCCCTTCACCCTCCCTGCCTGCTGTGCTGACCCTGGACCAAGGCACCCTCGACAGTAGTAATGCCTCCAAATGGAGGGCAACTGGAAAGAATCTGACATATGACATGATAAAGCATCCTGTCTTACAACACAATCCTTTGTCACAAGCTCAACACAAAACATGGTTTTCTCATTGTCACATGGGGGGATGGGTGATTCCCCAAGCCAGTGCAGGGTGCCACATCAATGCCTATCACCAAACATCCAATGCAGCAATCCAGATTAATGACTATAGCCCATGTTTGATGCCACAAACAAGAGCAGAAACATGGGCATCCTTGACAACTCCCGCTCCACCAGATTGGAAGTCCTTCAACACTCCCAAAATGTATGGTTTGCCCAATTTCTTAGGCAGTTTAGGTGTGAAAGCTTTGGCATCCAGAAGACTGTGGAATTTCAGCACCCAAAACATGAGGCTAGATTCAAAGCAGCACATAGCATCAGGTATCCTCTATAGCCTTACACCAGATCAGCACTCTTGAACAGCTATCCCCCAGTGACCTCACCTGGTCAAACCAAATCAATGAGGTTAACCTGGCAAATCAGTGGTCAATTATTTACACATAGGAAGAAATAAATACTATTCCAATTTCATTCAGGTCATGACAATCAGCAGTGTAGTGATATCTTGTTGGGTGGATACACATTTACCTACATTTTGAGCACAGCATGTGATGAAATGAACTCCACTGATGTTACTGTTTAAAAACACTCAGCGCGCTTACAACCGCAATTACACAGCATGGTGTGTACACATGAATTGAGCTTCACATATATCTCACTTCTCTGCATGTCATGTACTTACCATGCGCCCTGGCCCCAGGCCTCGAATCAGCACCCGGACATTCTTGTAGCCTTTGTTCAAGGCTCTCTGAAACCAGACAAGCATGAGCAGCCTGGCATATCAGTGCTTAATCACAAATAGGTACTGGCTGTTTCAAACAAAGAGAGCCAAAAGACAGGTTAACTGAAAAGCTTCACAAACTTTCATGGTGAGTATCATGAACAACCACAATAGCTTGCATGAAGCCAAATTCAGGACCTGAATGTACTAGCTGCTGGAACATGAACAATGGTACAACACCACTATGTTATCCTGAAAGTGTATTCAAAAACAACTGAACGGTTTTCCCCTCCTATAGAAATTCTTATTCTAAGAATCAAATGATGTATTTCTTACCACAGCCATTGCAATTCCAGTTGCCTGAGCAGCAACATTTGTACCTTTCTTGGTGTTCTTAAAACCCTCCATTCCACAGGAACGTATCATCTTCACAAGCCCTGTAACAATACAAAGATATCTTTACGAACATACCACATCCTAAACTCCTAGCTGAGTTTACGAAGCAATGTTTCAAATAGTTGATCAATGCTACAAATAGTCAATCATAAATAACAGGATACAGAATGCTACAATGAAAACAATAACACAAGCAAGTACACAAATTGGAATACCACTAGCACAAACGATGTATGACAAGATCGAAGCAGTCAAACACATATGGCATGTTTGAAACATGAAGCACCTTTTACCTTGAGATGTAGAAATTGAGAACACTGTGTTGTTCTTTGAGACCCTCACACTGCAAATCGGCAGGTCTGAGAACTTCACCCCGTCCACCAGGATATTGGGAGTATTTTCATCTGGGAATGTGCTGTCTGTTCTGAAACAAATGTGAGTGGTAAGACAAAGTGAGACACTGGGAGTACTTTGCCAGAAAATATGCTTGCCTCTGAAACATGTGAATGTAAAACAACAAAGATATGAGGGTTGTCCCAAAAATAAAGATGCACAAACAAAATGCAGGAAATGCTACTAGAAACCCCTGAACTTATCTTCTTTTTGATCAGTGTTTTAAATAATAAATACAAACTTGAGTGCCTCAATCTCCACTTTGCCATGTCTTTATCACACCCCCACCTAGACTCCAATGCAGGACTGGGTTCCATAACCCAATCTTAACTACTATATATAAAACAATTAAAACTGTAAGGACTCTGCAAGTGGGATACCAGAAAACAAACTGCAAGGCAATACTCATGAGCACTTTTTGCATGTTTTAGTCATAGAAATATGCACATCCTCTCTACAAAAAACAGGTACCAATGGTATCTGCACAGTGACAATCAAGCTCAGCTATGTCCTGTACCAATATTGTCAGATTTAGAACTGGCCATCCCATTATGTCCTATAGAACCTTGGCTAAGAACCTGTAGTCAAACTGAGGCATCCATAGACCTCAACTTACCATGGAGTTTATTTTAAACATAATTCCCACCTTAGCCATGCCTTGCTTGTAGCTTTTCCTCCTACTTTAGATCTTTAGCATATTATATGACTAACAAGCATGATTATTGGCTTTTCCTGTCATGCATCTATAATTGCAATATGGCAATACATTGAATGGAAAAGGTAACTCCACCTGATGATATCATTGGACTCTATCTAAATCACAGCCACACTCTTACCCCTAGCACCAAAATAATCAGCTTTTTATGTAATTGCAGCATCTCTTCCAGTGGTAGGCAAGTACCAACCGAAGCAATTCACTCTTTACACATAAAATAGTCAACTAATAACATTAAATGTCACCAGTCAAAAGACAAAACAATGTGGTCCAAATCACATGGAAGAATAGCTTGCTCAAATATGCAGTGCCCAAAATGTTTTGTAAGCACCACAAAATATATCTGGGCATACCAGCACTGGGATTCAAACCAACACGAGCCACGTTACAAGAAACCAGTCGGCAGAATCATGAGAGGAGCACATCATATTAAGGATGCTCATTCCCCAAGAAACCTAAGGTCAAGCTGGAAACATCAGCAGGCAAAAGACAATGGAACAGTTTAGTGAAGCAAGCCCACACAACACACAAGGATACCACCTGTAGCAATATGTTGAAGCTTCCCTGAAATCCCGTGCATTCCTCAACCAGAGTATACATGTCAAAAAGTTATGAGCTGCAGAAAAACATGGTTTCATCCATACCTGATAGCCTGTAGTCCAGACCAATGCTTGCTTCACCCTCAGTTCCATCATCAGGTTTGGGCACTTTCACAGCTCTGCGACCATCCTCCTTGCCCAAAACTTCACCAGCATGGAAAGGTCTGCCTGCTTGGCTTGGTATCATGGTTCTCAGCCCACATTTAATGCAGTTTTCTTTACAATTTATCTTCAAGGCAACCAGTGACTTTTCTGGTGAGTACAGTACTCTCTGTAACAACCTACCCATACCAGGGCACAATTTAAGCATTCTGCTGCCTCCTAGAGCGAAATTGTACTACAATGAGCGCGGAGCACCCGCACACACGCCTTCACTGCCCGAAACTCCACCCGAGAAAGAGGAAGAAAATGGCGGCGCAGCGATGATGTGGCGACGACAGCGACACTAGCGCCACGGCGGCCGACTGCATGCAATTGGCTAAAGTGCTGCGATTGGATAAGATATGGTAGGCACGTGAATACCCGAATGCATGAGAAACTTAAGCAGTAAACCTAAACAATTTCATAAGTACACATTGAAATATGAAAAAACGCATTTTGGTATTATACACGGAAATACCCTTATAAGCTAAACAAATGCTGTGACACAAAATCATATCACAGGCTCTAATTTCAAATGAATGTTCCTAAATGGTTCTTCATTCCGACGTAACGACGAGAGCAGTTTGCCTCTTCCGTTTTGATGCATCCCATGGGTGTCACGTCCTGGTTAACTGGTATCCGAAGAGGCAACCCGACCGGATTTCTGCAACGCTGTTTTTGATCTGATGCATTTATCGGGTGTCGGTTCAAGTAAAGATCACGGCAAGCGAATGCACTGAAGAACCGTTTGGCTTTTGGATCTGTATGAGTTGTACTCGATGGTGAAGGTTTTGTCTCAACTGGACGACAGTAGCTCCCAAGAGCAGACGAGTGCATCGGGATCACCTGCTTTGCTTGCACGTAACAGCTGCGCCAGCTTTGCTGATTAGGTCACGTTACCGACTTTGTGACGTCATGAGGTCTTAAGATTTTCCCTGGATACATGATTTGAAAATGGTCCATATAGCGCAGTCAGTGCTGGCGCCT